TTAATCCCACAAACACATAATTAGCTACTTTAATTATACTCATATGCTATCATATATTGTTTGCCAATAATCTCAGACATTACTTGTCAAAACAAATAAGAGCTGACAAATTCCCAAGTGGAAATGTCATCTCTTGCTTCAACTTTCCCATTTCCCCACTAACTTAACAAATTATTTACAAACACCTGAAAAAGCATGGCCCCAAATCCAAAACCTGCTTTTATTATGCTTTACCAGTAAGAACTTTTCACTCAACTGTAGCTGCTGCGAAACTTAATATATTTAATTTCTTTAATGGTAAAGTAATAAAGGCAGGTGCCAAATGTAATGCAACCAACTGGTAAAGAAAGGAAGCACACATTTTGCTCACTGTTACTGAAACCTTTTATAAAAAAGCCAGCCAGATCTCCGTACAAAGAATGTTAGGTCCTAAGACCATTACAAATGAAACATACAATTCTGAATTCAATATGTTTCAAGACTCAGGAAATTCCCAAGGACATCGTTTTCTCAGACTGGTGTGATGCGGCAATCTTTAAAACGTTGTTTTAAAAAATGGGGCAGAAATTCCTCCAGTCTGCAGAGAAGCAACCATGTCACACTTAAAGCATTCAAGCCTCTCGGAATTCCGGACACAAAGGGCTCTTAGACCAATCTGTCAAGGCAGGCAAAGGGCTCCTCCGGCAGGACCCCTGGGCCCCCGCCCTCGGCCAGGAAAACAACAGGGGCTCGGAGCCCAGGTGAGGGTTGGGTATCAAGGAGAGCTAGAAGGAACGCGAAGTCGGTGCCAGGTGTCCCCGCCGACCTGCCAGTCACCGCGTCCCGCTCGCTCCGGCTTCCGCGTGCCTGCCCTCCCAGCGCGCCCTACGCACCCGCAACCCGAGCACCCGGACATCACACTCGGGTGGTCCCGCCTCCGCCCAGCCACCTCCCGACGCAGCTTGGGGGCGGCGTTCCGCCCCTCCCCTCGTCGCAGCTCAGCTGTACCCACCCTCGGTTCTCCCGGCTGAAGCCG